ACACACACACACACACACACACACACACACACACACACACAGCAGCATTCTATCCTCTCCTTATCTTTTAATGAACACCCCAGTATCACAGTCCTAATTACAAAACAGCTTAACTTTATTTTTATATAGTTATATAATTTCAAGGTCTTGCAGCTTCTTTAATGATATTTACATGATGACAAAGGGAGACAAAAAGAGCATCTCGAGAGGGATGCGCAGTATATAAGGCAGAGTGTATTCAAGTGTCACTCTGCAGGTTTTTTAAAGCAAACTCAAGCCAAATGAATTCCCCCTGCCAGTCTAAAAATAGAGCAGCATCCCAGTGCCCCAGAGTGGAAAGCATCCAGCCAAAAAAAAAAAAAGGCACCCCTGAAACAGAGAGGGGACGTGCAGTTCAATACAGAGGACAGGCCACTGCAGCAGTTCCTCTGTAGCATTCAGATGCACGATCAGGGCTACAGATAAGCACATAAACTTGCAAACAAACAGTGAGCCGTCAGCAAGCAGACATTAAGAGTAACTCTTTTCTGGCTACATCGCCAGTTTGCTCCTAATAAATATGATTAATGCGACACCAGCGGGCTATGCTGAAAATCAAAAGCAAGTCATTATGTATTAAAGATGTACTGAACTTACTCGACATAGTAGCTGCCGTAAATGGGGTCATCGATTTTCTCCCAGCCGTACGGAAGCTCTGTTAAAAAAACAACAACAACAAAAAAAAGAACAGGAGCGATAATGAAGGACTTGTTTATTCAGTGAACTTGCATCAGCATGTTGGTGTTGCATGAAAAAATGTCCGTGGCAGATTAAGTTTACAGTGCCATTTTACTGTTTGGTAGTCGTCAGTGATTTGATGGTACATTAGCATGATAACTGGAAGGATTATTTCTCATCTATATTTTGGAAATTTCATCTTTTATAAAAAAAAAAACTTATGGCAATAAGACACAAGATTAAAATCTAGCTACGTTTCCTTTGCAACTTGTCACATTGATGTGCATCAAATGCAAACTTCTTTCAGAAAAAAAGTTGTAAAACTGCACCAAACATTGTTAGATCTAGTGGCTGAATTTAAATCCGTAAAATATTTATGTTCTGCATCTTCACCACGCTGTAAATATACTTTAAAAATATGGAAACATTTTCCATAAATGAACAAAATAAAACTAGAATGAGCACAAACTGTCAGGGTATTATATCTCAACATGTTAGTGAAGATTTACTCTCATTTCACCTCCAAATGTCACGAGTTAGGGACTGGCTTAAGTTCCCAATAATAAACAGTACATCATAGATATTGTAAATGTCATATCAAACAATACAACACTTGTGATAAGCATCTAAATGACATATTAATTAAAGAGCAAACTCCTGGTGTAAGCAATGCAGCCAGCACAGAACTAATAAAAAACTGCAGTTCCATGAGTGGCCACTTGAGGTTGGCACAACAATTGATTCAAACCCTGTGACTGACATTTATATGACACGTGCATATGGAAGCACAAGTATTCCCAGATGAGATGGAACTCATGGAGGAAGATTTCTGCAGCAGTGCTGGAGAAGATTACAAATGGACAAAAGCGCCATAACGGCGAGCTTAAATGATTGTGGCTGCTTGACGGCGTCATCATCAGCGTGCGAAGCGACCAATGCAGGGAGGATAAATGTGCCATAAAAGTGTAACTTTCCCAAGGGCTCAGAAGGTAGGGGAGGCCCGGTTGACACAAATATCCAACGAGCATCTCTGGATTACATGGCAGGCATATACTTGCTGCGTTCATACTGTAATATATATGTGTGATATATGTAGAAGCTGCTCCATTAGAAATGATTGTTGAATCATTAATTCTATAAACAGATTAGCTCGTCAGTCTGAGGACCTGTCGTTAATGGGCTTCTCTGTTTTCTTCCATGCTTGCAGACATTACAGTTGTCTTTCTGTTAATGTAGCCTGGGAAGCTTGACTAAATGTGTCCATTCCCCCAACCTCTAACTGCAGTTGCTGTCCATGGTGCTAATCAAACGTGGGAATGATGCTATTGATATTATTGATTGCTGCTGTATGATAGGGCAGCACAGTGGTGCGGTGGTTAGCACTGTTGCCTCGCAGCAGTCTCTCTGTATGGAGTTTGCATGTTCCCCCCAGGTCAGCAGGACTTTGCTCTACTACTCCGGTGGTACTTCCACTTCCCCTCAGAGTCCAAAGATATGCATGGGGTTAAGCTAATGGACGGTTTTAAACCGCCCGTAGGTGTGAATTTGGTTGTGAATGGTTGCTTTTTTCTATGTGTTAGCCCTGTGGCCCGTCCAGTATGAAAGCAGGCAAGGGCTCAAGAAATACCTGCCTCAGTGCCTATAACAGAGCCTGTATGCCTGTGTAAAAGACAGAAACGTGTTTAAGTCAGGTATAATGAAATACCTTTGGTCTCCATAGATAATATTCCTGTATTTCCCTTCCTGTTATTATTATGGTGTACTGGAGCTTTGTGGTAATATGTGCTAATTTACAGCCCAGTTTAAGTGAAGGAGATTCCAGCATTTTATTAGTCCATTACTTAATCTAATTAGCAGATATGTATGTCTGTGTGATGAAACTTCACAGTCTACAGATGAACCTGGATAGCCAAGCTTGCTTGATAATTAAGCACTCCATCATCTCAGGGTGGCAAATGGCTCCATCAAGACCATTAAGTCAAAGCATCAAAATGTAAGTTCACAAACCAGGTGGCGTAAGTCACTGTAGCGTTGTTCATATTTTATATACAGTCTATACATAAAACACAGACTATGAGTTAACAGCACATAAAATATATGCAAATATATTTAATGATACGTATTCTGGGATGATATTTGCAGGAAGCTAATTTCAACTGAACCTAAAATTTATCTCCATTTCTAAAAAAAAAACCCCAAATCACCTGAACTCTCAAACTGCCACAGAGGCCAAAACAACAGATGTGAGTCATGCCCACTAAACAACATTAGATGGATTTACCACGGAAAAACCTAATTAAATGAGAACATTATGAGTTAACGAGCAAAATTAAATTGAAACGCTACGATTTGGAGGCCCTTGTTGCAATGACAAGCGAAAACCTTCATCTAACACTTCTAAATGAAAAGTCAGTGTATAATTTGTATAACTTTTTATAACGAGAGGAAATCCATGCAATACATGTTGGGGAATATCACTCAAAGCAACAAATGTAACCTCGCAGGAAAGAAAAATCTGAAAATCCCCTTTGTGATTAATCTTCTAGAATTGATAAATGATCCATAAATGTCAAAACAAGATTTTGGCAATGCCTAAAATAGCAGTTGTAACAGCTGGCATTGACTACCTGGTCAGAGAGCTTTACTTTTTTTACACAACGTGGTGAATAACTTTTGAACAGAGTGAGTGCACAGATGTTTCTGCCAACTTGGCCTCTTTCTATACGTGAGATGTGCTGCAGAACACGCTGCAGTGATCAAAGGTGATCTTCCTTCCAGCTCTGACAGTTATCAGTCATACCGGACAGGACTTTGAAAGTTTTGCCCCGTCTCCTCTTTTCTATACCCACAGCTCACTGGCAGAACACATCTCTTAAAAAATGCCTAGAAGGAGTTCCCCCCTTTGCTTTCCAGGATATGAGCAATTAGCATTTAAAACATATTCCCACATGTAGACTGCAGAATTTTAGCATAATATTGTAATCATTCAAAACCAGCTTGGGTACTCGCTGTTAGAGGCTCGTACTGAAATAGAATCTAAGCTGAATCTAGCGTGGAGCTCGGGGACAGTGTGTTCCGGTCCTGCTCGGCTTAGATTCAGACCAGCTTTGATTAGTGACAATGCAAAGTTAATCAGGATGAGAGCAGAGATAACAGCAGAGAAAATGCTTCCTAATCAGAAAGGGAGGCAACCAGAGGGAGAACTAAAGCACCTCGGGCTCTCCTGGACTTTGCAGCTTGTTGTAGGCACGACTGCAGCTTGTGACAAAGACACATAAACAGGGATTCACCAAAGATATGATACAATCTATGGTCACTCTGTTCAGTGTGTTAAATATCACCCTTTGACCTAGTTAGCAGACTCGATTGAGTGCATACTGCTCCTCTGTTGCAGACAGCACTATTGCACCAATGCTAAGGAGTGCACGTGCCATATGCCTCTCTGTACCCATGCCCCCATCTCCTCCAAACAAACGATTAAAGTTTCATAAGATGCACTATTTTTTCCTGCACATACACACACACACACACGCACACACACACACACACACACACACACACACGGTTGTGAGTGATACAGCAGTGCTGTGAGCAGGTTGACAGCCCATGGGAATATCTTCTGTGAACACAGCAACATTTCTTACAGTTAGTGTTTTTGTTTTTTTAACTAGACCTTTGCTAAGTTCTACACACCTGTATATAAAGTACATACAAATTATATTACTTACTTTACACTCATATTCAGAGGTATAACCCTTTCAGTTATTTTCCATATACACGCGCACACACACACACACACACACACACACACACACGCAGACAAATAAAGGAGATCAAAGGACTCAGTCATGCATCCCAGCACTCTTCTAATGAAAAGCTTTTCTATTAAAACATCCACAGAATATTTACAGAAACAAAAACAGTCCCTGGCTTCAATAACAAGAAGAAGACAAATTGATTCTCTGTTAAGGATAGTTTGATTTTATTAAAACTTGGCTCTTATTTTTATTCTTTTGACTGTCATTTCTGACAACGGTTCTCAAACACTAAAATCTGGCAACACAGCAACATAGCACTAAAGTCTGAGGATAAAAATACACAAGTAGTAAAATAATGGAGTCACTGGAAACGAGATAGCTACAAAGCCCAGAAAATATAAATAGAAAGTAAATCTCTCCTAAAGTAATATTTCATCCAAACTATGAAACTGACAAATCAAATGTTTAAACAGTTTAACCCTGTAAAGCCCGAACTACAAAATAATTGCCAGAAAATGTAATTTTTTTATATTTAACCTTCTGAGAAACTTAAAAAAAAAGAAATATCATTTTATATACATTTGTATATTTTTGCTACATCTGCTACATTAATTTATTAATTTACATGAATTATTTTTTTCAGGAAAAAAAAATCCCAGTAATGACGAAAAGGTCTCAAAAAACCTCACAAAAACATAAAAAAAAGAAAAAAAACTAACAAAAAAAGGGTAAAAAAAAAATTAGCACTATTTGAATCTGATGGCGATGTTTACTGCTGTTGAGAAAAACCACTAAAAGTTTACTGTGGAATATTTAGCGGTGAAGAAATTTCATGACTTGTTGGAATTCACTGAACTCCAGAGAGCGACCCATTCTTTCGCAAACGTTTGTAGAAACAGTCTGCGTGACTAGCTGCTTGATTTTATACACCTGTAGAAGTGATTCACCTGAATTCAATGATTTGGACGGCTGAGTGAATACTTTTGACACTATAGTGTACCACTCAGCACTGATGGTGCCTTTCTAGATGTGCAAGCTGCTAGACGTAGGGGCGGAGGCTTTTTAACTGAGCGCAGATAACGAGCTAAATGGTCCCTTTCCTCTTTAGTGTTGTCCATGTTTTCCAGAAAGAATTTTAAATTTTGATTTGTCTGACCATGGAACAATTTTCCACTTTGCCTCCATCCCCTCTAAACGAGCTTTGGCTCAGAGAAGATGG